AAAAAAAAAAAGAACTTGAGTAGAATTAGGGTTTCCCTATTCAGGGTGTATAAGTATGCACTATGTTTGCTAAAACCCCTTAATTATATTCCTTAGGAAATACCCTTTGATTTTGATTTTATATGAAAGAGTTACTTTGTAAGGGTTAAACCCAATAACAGGTATAAGCAGTCCCATCAACTTGGACTCTTAGTGGGTTATACCCATAAGCAGGCCCCACAATTGGTAGATAGGTCATGGGACCCACACACTATTGGGTAGTTATGTATTTCAAACTTACACATCTTAACAGTGAGTCCCATTAATCAGTAAAAGTGGGACCCACTATACTGATTTGGTAATGGACATGGTCCACTTTAATGTTTTAACAGTGGGCCCCACAAATAAATGAGACCCACTATACTAATCTGATAGTGGACATGATCACATAACCCACTTTGATATTTTAAATTTAATTATTTTAACAGTGGGACCCACTATGATGACTTGCTAGTGGGTGTGGCCCACCTTAATGTTTTAAACTTGAATATTTTAATAGTGGGCCCAACTGATGGGTGGGACCCACTATGATGGCTTGATAGTGGGTGTGTCCCACTTTAACATTTTATACTTGAATATTTTAACAGTGGGCCCTGCTGACAAGTGGGACCCACTTTGTTAGTTTGATAGTGGGAGTGACCCACTCTAATATTTTAAACTTAAAAATTTAATTATAGGCCCTGTTGATAAACGGGATCCGCTATGTTGGTTAGATAGTGGGTGTGGCCCATCATAGTTTTCAAGGCGCCAAGGCGAGGCTAGGCGACCATGGGGCGCCCAGGCGCCTAAGCGCCTAGCCCTCGCCTAGGCGATAGAATTTAAAACTAAGGCTTGCCGATGGATTTTTACCCCTTTTGAACTAGTTTTTATTGGTTTTATGTATTCTGCACTTACTTTTGTGCTTGTATTTCTTGCAGTGTTGCTTCAAGTAGGCAAAACAATATAGAGTTGCAACTTACAAGTTAAAAGTTAGAACTTGAAAGAACTGAAGGGGGCAGAGCCCCTATTTTAGATCAACAATACATAGGGAACAAATACTAAAATAAAAGAAGAAAATGAAAAAGAAAAGTAGGGGGCGGAGCCCCTGTTCTAGACCCAGAAAATCTGGTGAAAAAATATTAAAACAAAAGAAGAACTATGAAGAAGAAAAGAAGGGATGGAGCCCCTGTTTCAGAAACCAATGATGAGAACAAAAAAAAAGCTGAAAAAATGGAAGAAATTAAGAACAAAAGAAGGGGGTGGAGCCCCTGTTCAGACCCAGAAAAGCTGGTGGAAAAAAATACTAAAATAAAAGAAGAATATGAAGAATAAAAGAAGGGGCGGAGCCCCTGTTCCACCCCTGTTTCAGACACCAATAATGAGAAAAAAAAAAAAAGCTGAAAACATGCAGGAAATTTAAGAACAAAAGAAGGCGGAGCCCCTGTTTTGGTCCAATAAAATGATTCAAAAAACTTCGAGAAAAGATACAAAAAGGAAGAGGAGAAAATGGGGCGTAACCACTGTTTTAAACAAGGAAACAGAGAACAAAACTAATGGAGGACTGTGTGGGAACAAAACTAATGAAGAAGAAGAAGAAAACTGATTAACTCACCTTGACTTTAGAGGACTGTGTGGGAACGATGGAGGCTGTTGTTCTCTCATCTTCCACAGTTCGATACTTCGATTCTATTGTCAATGTGAAACCCTCGAAGATCAACTTTTTTTTACTTTCCTCAAAACAAAAGCATGATAACATGCAATAGGTTCTATTATAAAAACTAAAAATAAAATATTTTATATTTTATATTTTTTTATTTAATAAATATTCATATAATATATATTTGCTTCAGCCCACTAAGCATGAGCCTAACATAGTTGGCGTTTGGGCAAGGCATTCTTTGAAAAGCGCCTAGTCGCCTAGGCGTCGCCTTGACAACTACTGATAGGTGTGAACCACTATGCTAATTTGATAGTGGGACCTATTGCTAAATGGGCCCCACCAAATCAGGTTATTTAAAACCTGTATGACAGTGGGTATGGCCCACTAGAGCATTGAATTCTTATTATTAAACTCCCCCTTTTTATAGTGGATGGGACCTACCAAATCAGAACAATCTAACTTGTTGTAACAGTGGATGGTCCATTGTTGACCTTCTTTTGAGGTGGATAAGATCCACCGAATGTGATAGTGGGTCCCCCAATTATTAATTTCTGATCATTAGGTCCTATGGGTGGGACCCATCAAAACAGAATTATGTGTATTTGTTATAACAGTGGAGTATTCTTTTGAGGTGGATGAGACCCACCGAATATGGTATGCTAAATATTGGCTTTTTTTTGTTTTGTTTACAGGTATCAATACACTTGCTGAAATACTTGGCAGCTCATTAATAACAGTGGGTCCCAAGCATGAACTTTTGTTTTCGTTTTTTTTTAATCTATTGTAATATTGGGCAGTCCACTGAGAGTTTTGTTCTTTTGAGGTGGATAAAATCCACCG